TAAGAGCAAGAATGAAGGTGGTAAATGGTTTTTGTTTTTTATTTTTTGAGACAAGGACTCACTCTATAGCCCAGGTGTGCTTAGAACTTATTGGCAGTCCATTATGGCCCCCAAAACTTTATTCGTTCCAACAAACCCACCCAAATGCTTCAGATTTTCTACAGAAACCCTTTTGCCAGATTTCACAGGAAGTATGGCTGTACATTTTGTGTCTTCAAAAATGTTCATCTGTAAACATCTATAAATTCTCTCTGTGTACATCTTATGTCAGGCTACCCCATTACTACTTGGCTAAATATATGGTTGTTGAATTGTTGAATTCTCTCTGAAACTTGAGCTCTATCAGGTTTTCTTTACTTTTTTTTTGACTTGAAAGTTGTATAAATCCAGATCCTCTGGTAGCTAGAGAAAACTCACAATTGCCGTGTCCCTTTTCTCTTGGGAGTACATGAGTAAATATTTAATGGTTCTTTTCTAGCACAGCATGAATGCTTAAAATATTAATTGTGGTCAGCCAATTGTGTGGTTGTTGGTACCCTTCTCTTAAGAATAACGTTTCTGAATACTGCTTGGTGGTATAAAACTAGATCTATTTTGAGACTGTAGAGATAGATGGCTCGGGGTTAAGAACACTGGCTGCTGTTGCAGAGGACCTGGGTTCAGTTCTCAGCACCCACATGGTGACTAATAATCATCTGTAACTCCAGTTCCAGGGGATCCAATGCCCTTGTTGACCTCAGGGCATTGCACAACATGGGTGCACTTATACACATGCAGGCAACATACTTGTTTGTACACATAAAATAAAGATAAATAAAATATTTTAAAAAACTAGACCCACTTCTAATGGAGACTTTTTCGTGTGTGTGTGTATATGTCATATGTTGCTGGGGATCAAACCTACACTCTTACATATGCTCTGTAGGTAAGCACTTTACCACTGAGTTATATCCCCATTCTTTAGTGGAGACATTTAAAATGTTGATACGATTAGAGTCAGAAAAAGTTTATCTCTGGGGGCACTGGCAGCATGTCATTCATGTTCTATTTACATTCGTGGAAGTTAAAAAACTACCCTGTCTGATTTTTCATGCTAATAACTTGACTCTTTTGAAACATTAAAGTGGGTTGAGAGTGGGAGGGTGCTCCAAGTCCAGTTAGAAGAAGGCAAGATCCAAGTAGCACTGAGAGGACATTGTGAGGTGAAACATTCTAATGCCAGATCGCTAACGTTTTAAGCCAGGAAGTGTTGGAATTACACACCATTCTCTGTGTTAACTACTGCTTCTCATCCATTGGAATCTCCTGTGTAATTTTAAAAATTGCATGTCAGACCCATTAAATCAGATTCTCTAGGACTGGAATGTAAGCATTGGTATTTATGAAAGTATAAAAGCTTTCCAGGAAGTTTTAACGTATAGCCAAGAAAAGCATCTTTCCAAAGTTCATATAAATGGCAGAGATGTTACATTATGTAGCTGCTGGCTTTAGTTAGAGCTCGCCAATTATAATTAATCATTTGGGAATTCCTGGATGCAACTTAAGGCTCATTGTGTTCAGTGGAAAACATTCATTAGGTCTTAACTTTGTACTGGATTGTTATTAGTTACTAGCAATACAAAGATTAAAAAGTTGATAAAGTAGTGTGGTTTAATGGGGGACACAGAACTAACTACAATGTAGCACATGCATAGTATGAAAGTGGAGGTATGACTAGAGTATTCATTGGAAACTGGGATATGGTGTGTGGGAGAGTGGAGGTGTAAGATGAACTAAAAAATGGTTAAGATTTCACAGAAAAAGTGACAAATTAAGAGTTTATCAGGTAGTAAAGGGGGAGAAAGGATTCCGCGTCACATCTAAAGATGTGAAGAAATTAAAGGGATTTGTGTTCAGGATTGGTTGGAGAGCAAAATGCTCATACGATACTTACAGGTTATACTAGAAAGGTATGTAAGAGTCCGATGGTGAAATGATTTATGAACCGTATTGAAGATTGGGGTTATTATCTTACATGACTGGAGGCCACAGGGCCAGATAAATGGAGGGTTTAGATAGGTCATCTTAAAAAGTGAAGTTGCTTAGATGTGACGCAGCTGGTGGCGTTGAGGTATCTGGACAGCAGATGTTGGCTTTAAGATGTTCAAATGAAAAAAAAAAAAAAACCCACCAATATTTCAATAAAAAACAAATAAAGCAGAATACTTTTTAGGTCAAATAAACTTGTAAAATTCAACTTCCAAGGCCTAGTTTCATAGCTTCTTCAGCACCCATGAGCAGGTGTACAGGATGATAAAAGATGTGATAGCATTTCTATAGAAGAGTACAGAAAAAGAGTCCAAGAGTTGAGCATGAGCAGAGAGGTTAGTAATCCAGGTAGTGTTCCAGCAAACCCTCTGTACTTTCTGACAAGGTAGTTTGCACCTCCGGGGGCCTGAATTCCTTTGCTGTCCAGCTGCCATTGTCAGTGGCACTTTCTCTTCAGCCCCATCCATCCTGCTGCCACCATGCCAATCATCCTGTCTGACTGTGTTTGCGTTGAACAGTGTTTGGTTTTTGTTTGTGATGTTGGGCTCTTGCTGTCCCTTCAGTGGTACAGAGATTAACATTGCTTCATAGGAACCATCACCCCTTTCACCTGCACTTCATCGCTTCCTGTCACTGCCCAACACCACTCTGGAAGAGTCACCATAACTGTACTTTTAAAACCTGACGCTTGATGGGAACTAGGTTTAATCTTGAATGGAGATCACCAGTCTTCAGTTTAATTGTCATTTTGCTTGTATTTATTATCAGAACATTGTACTTTTGTTTGGATAACTCCTTAGTCAAATCGTTTTCATTATTGGCGCCTTCTGTTGTTTTCTGTGTACATGTTCGGGGCCACACAAAATGAACACCGTTAACACTTTCCTCATTTGTGCTGCTTCTTCCACGGCACCCTCATAAGCTCTTCATCTTTTTATGTGTGTAAACATTTTAAAATTACATTCACTTATTTATTTGTACGTGCATGCCTGTGTGTTGTGTGTCTGCATGTGTGCCATGCGTGGAGGTTGGAGGATAACTGAAGGAGTTGGTTCTCTCTTTCCACCACGTGGGCCTGGGAGATCGAACTCAAGTCATCAGGTTTGGCTGCAAAGCACCCTCACCTGCTGAGCCATCTTGCTGGTCCAAAACAGAGTGGTAGTTTAGCCTGGTACAAGACTCTAGGGTAGCAGCTATTTTCCCATAGCATTTGAAGATCCTTAATTTTGTTGTCTTGGGACTTTGTTGAAATGAGACGTCAGCTGCCAGTTTAATTACTCTGTTGTCAGTGAGTTGTCTTCTATTTTTTTCTTTTTATCCCTTTATGCTTTTTCTCTGTTGGTCCTTCTCTGTTGTCTAATTGTAATGTATGCAGATGCAGATTTATTTTTATTTAACCTATTTATTCTTTGATGCTTAAGATATATAATTTTCTTTTTCAGTACTCAGGTCAAACCTAATGTTTCATACAGGGTAGGCAAGTAATCTACGCTGTACCATCAGCCTCTATTTACTTTTTATTTTGAGACAGAGTCCCACTAGTTGAGGCTGCCTTGAGCTCACTCTGAAGCCCACACAAGCCTTGAACTTTTAATCCTCCTATTTCACTCTCCCACATAGGATTGTAGGCCCAGCTTAGAAAACTTTTAAACTAAGTTTAAAAAAATGAAAATATAAGTAAAATAACTGGTAATTATAGTCTTCCTGTTTGCCATAAACACAAAGGAGAACTTAGTTATATTAACTGAAAATGTATTGTTTTTGTTTGACTTTATATTAGCAGAAGAAAAGAAGAGGGGGGAGTCTTAAGAGTTTAGAAGGCCTGAATTTGTCTGGTTACTGACAGAGTTTTGATTAGTTATTTATCTTTGGCAGTTTTATTTATTTTATGTATTATTTTATGTGTATGAGTGTACTGCTTACATGTAGGTAGGTGCACCCGTGTTGTGCAGTGCCTGCGGAGGCCAGAAGAGGGTGTTTAATTCCCTGGAACTGGAATTACAAACTGTTATTAGCCATCATGTGGGTGCTGGGAATTGAACCTGAGTCCTCTGCTAGAGCAGTCAGTGTTCTTAACCACTGAGCCATCTCTTCAGGTCCCTGTGGCAGTTTTTTTTATTTTGTAAGATATAGGTAATAGTTTATATTGTGCTTGTTTTTCAGCACAGCATTGTTTTTGTGAAGGTAATTGAGATGATTGATTGTGAAAATGCTTTGAAAAATTGTAGGCATTGTTCATAAGCTCTAGTAGTGTAATCTATGGGCAAATTATTTTAGAAGCACCTTAATGTTTATTTTCTCTAAATTAAAAGTGACAGTAGCTGAAAAGTACAGTTTAACTTTTGGAGGAGATGTGTGTTTTTCCTTTTAAAGTAATAATCAGTTCTAAATATTATATTTTACTTGGTTTGTCCTAATGAATTGAATTGGTAACCTTTTTAAGAAAAGCCTCCAGGTAAAATGTTAGTTATTTAAATTAGATATCTGTGTTTAGCAACTACCATATTTGAATATAGTTTTAAGTATAACTATTCTGTGTAATCTAAAGTAGAAAGTACTTTGCCCTTTTGTGTACATGTGAGGGGGGTGTGCATGTTTGTACGAGGGTGCTCACCTAGGTGTGTGTGCGTAGAGGCCAGAGCTGAATGTCTGATATTTTCCTCTGTGATGCTCTTATGTTTTCAGACAGGATCTCTCAGTGACCTGGAACTGTTGTTTTGACTAGGCTGGCCAGCCAGTGAGCCTCCTATTGCTGAGTTACCAGCACTGTGGTTACGAGCTCATACTGCCATATCCAGCTTTTATGTGGGTATTGGGAATCAGAACTCAGGTCCTTTTGCTTGCAGAGAAAGTACTCTATCTGCTGAGTCTTCCCCCCCCCCAGCCCACTTTTGTCCCCTTAAACGTACTAAAACTAAAGTTTAATAATTTGGAAAAAGATAAATTATATTTAATTTCTTCTTATTTGGCAGGCAACCAGATAAACTGGTGGTAGTTTGGACAAGAAGAAGCCGAAGGAAGTCTTCTAAGGTGTGTTCTAAATTTCTTATCCACACTTTGAATTGAACCTTTAGTGAGATTGAGCATCTGTACTCCTGGTAAAAAACATTTTAAAACATTACTTGGTATTTTGCTTTTTTCTGATTAGCTAATCTACTGAAAATGGATTGATCAGGCCTTGAAATTGTTTAACTGTTGCTTTTAAAGTGGGAGTCAAGAGGCCTGAGTTTTCTATCTTGAACTTAATTGTTACTATGTTTTGCATGTTTCCTCTCTAAAGTTCAGGTACAGTCAGTGTGGTAGTGTTACAAGGTATGGGCCTTTAAGAAGTAACATTTTAAAGACATGATTAGACACCTGGCAGGCGTGGTGGCACAAGCCTTTAGTTCTAGCACTCAGGAGGCAGTGGATCTCCCATGAGATTGAGGCCTGGTCTACATAATGAGTTCCAGGCCAGCTGGATTACTGAAGACCCTGTCTTAAAAAAAAAAATAAAGATTAGGCCATGAGGCGCCTGTCTTGAGTTTCTTCATTTTTGCTCGTCTTCTTTATATCTTGTGAGGATGTGGTAAGAGGGGCATCACCAAATGCTGACATCTTGATCTAGGACTTCCTAGCTTCAGGAACTGTGAGAAGGTAAGTTTCTATTCTCAGTAAATTACCCCAAGTGTGGCATTTTGTTATAGCAGCACAAATGAATGGAGAGCTTAACCTTGAGCATGTAATAGTTATTTCACTTCTTTGTACTAGACTGTTAGGAAGCAAGGATTAAGCAGTTTTTACTTTGTTAAGTGTAGCTAGGATGAATAGATTCAGGTTCCAAGAGGGGGAACTTCAGGTACACTTAAGGAGTAATGAGTTGTCTGACTTCATTGATGGATGTAGAGGAGTTGAAATTTTTCAAAGATAATTTTTTTAACTTATTTTTTAAAAAAGAATTTGTTTTAAAAAATATTTTATTTATGTGTATGAATGTACTGTCTCATGTATGAAGTGCACCTGTATTGTGCAATGCCCGTGGAGGTCAGAAGAGGTGTCGGATCCTCTGCAAGAGTAGTCAGTGCTTTTAACTGCTGAGCCATCTCTCCACCACCTTTACTGATATATTTTGTATGTGGGAACTAGAACAGAATTTTAAAATGTTCAGTAACGATTCTATGAATATTAAAAAATTCTTTTCTTTAGATATATTTTTGTAAGCTTACAACAACTGTGTAAGCATAGTTATTGGAGGTTAGTTTTTGTTTTTTTTTACAGTTAGACCTATATCAAGAATAATTTATTAAAATTAATTTAAACCTAAATTAGAAAAATTATTAAAGTGCACCTTTTGAAGGTGGTTTTATTTGTTTGTGTTAGAGACAGTGTCTTGCTGTGTATTCCAAGCTGGCCTAGAATTTGTGATCCTCCTGTTTGTACCTCCTGAATGCTGTGATTACAAATTGTGTACAAACACATCTGGCCTTTAGTTTTATTTTTATTGAGCAGTGTAATGTACTTATTTTAATTATTTAATTCAGTGAGTTTGACGAATCTATATATGTATGAATGCAATATATATATAGTTATAAAAATGTTTCTCAACCTTCAGAAGCACTATTTTGATTTCCTATT